TTCTAAGTAGGTGCCACGCTTAATTTTTAATTTTAAGTATAAAACTTTATATTAAATATTTTATTTTTATCTATACTTACCTATACTTACCTGAAATACTTACCTTTCCTTATATTGCGTATGTAGTATTGTTTTTTTTTTTTTTTTACTGTTTCCTTATATCTAATATATGCTTACCGTTTACTATTACCGTTTTTTAAATGGCATTAGAATTGCATTGGACCCTTATGTAGGATATAGGTTATCAGATCTTAGAAATCTGAGAACATATATAAAAATTATATGTATTATATCTAGAAATGTATATTTTATATGAAAATTATAATATAGAAGTTATGCAAGAATGTAAAAATATATATTAAATATAGAAGTGCAAATATTTTATCTGTTTCATATATAAATAATATAGGGTTTAAGGAATTATAGAATATTGGTATATGGAAATAATTATTATACGTAATTAGAAATTTATTAAATGTTTCATTGAATAACTACATTATGTATTGAATTTTTATTGTTCATGTATATATAAAGTTAATAGTAAATATATATGTATATATAAAGTTTCACAATTATGTATTTGTTTGTTAGAGTTTTAATGTATTATATGAAAGTGCTTTATATGTAATCCCAATTTGCAGAAATAGTGGTAGTATCATTTCCATTATTATGAATAGATTTTTCCATTAAAACATTTATTAACATCTTCAATTAATAGTACTATTTTCTATTTACATAATGTACTGTTTTCTATGAATTTTTATTACGTATATTTAATTTACAATAAGAAATTAGTGAAATGAATCTTTTTATTGCTATATTACTTATTAGACTACGGATTTTTATGCAAATGCATATGAATTATATAACATTTCTTGCATTTCTCTAAGCGACATGAATACAGATTTTAAACTAAGATATTTTAAATTTTGCCTTTTAATTTATGGAAAATCGATTAAAATATCTTTGAGCACAATTGTCTTAATTTAAACTTGAAGATTAATGAAATCTTTTTAAAACTAGGAAAATTTTGAAGGGCCGAAGATTCTTCCAAAGATTCTGATTTCCAATCAACGAATGAACAATCGTGGAACTTTGTCCTTTAAAAACACTTTTGATTTATGACTTCTCGTTCCCTAGATACCATCGTCTAAAGAAAAGATAGGATTTTTAATTATTCACCATATAACCGATATAAAATTAAGAAAACTTTGAACCATTATAACCCCGAAGATAGTGATTTCCGGTCGACGAGTGAACGATTATTGGAAACGTGATATCTTGCCCTTTAAAATGTCGTTTCATTCATCTCGATACAATTCTCGGTTTTCGAGATATCGTTGTCTAAAAAAAGTATAATTTTTACTATTACATAAAATTACTCTTATTACATAATTTCGTTTGCTATTTCTGTCCTTATTCCGATCTCTCGCTCGCGCTTCGTCTCACTGACCTATCCTAAAGTCCAGACAAATAACAGACGCGATTGCTGGAAAAGTAGTACGCATTTCTAGGAAATAAAGTAGGTCAATGGATCCATTCATAAATGCACAATCTTAAATATACAAAGGAAACTTCGAGCTCTTATATTTTGGTGATCGATTGAGATATCGAGATGAATTGAAAAATGATTTTGAGGATTACATCCATGGTTCCCTTTATATTTTAAATGCGTTTTAATGATGTATATATGACATATTTTCTATATAATGCTAATTGAATTTTTGTTTGAACACGTTTTAACTGTATAAAAATCCGCAGTCTAATTTATTACTATCACAGACAATATTAGACAAAATCTTCGGTTTCTCGAAATGATAATCTGATGAAATTACAAAAGTTTATGTAGATGAAAAGAGCATTCGTTAAAACGAACGATAAATGTATCGATAAACACAGTTTATTTCGATTATATTTTTTTTTTCATCGTATTCAATATTGCAAAATTGCATTTGATTTACGTATTTCCGGAGAAATATAACAAAGATAAATATATTTTTAATTTTAAAATCACTTTGACATCAACTAAATATAATTAATTAAGTGAATAACAAAGTATAAACATAGCAGCAGAATATAACACGTTGTCGCTTAATTTATTGCAAAATGTCAGATTTAATATCAACTCGAACCTTGGACTTCGAACTAAAAACGGTTATAACGTAATAAATGCTTTTAATGAAGTTATAATAAGCGTGCACGATTTTTGAGTAAAAAAAAAAAAAAATATAAAAAATTAAATTGAATAATAAGAGCGTTAAAACACGAAGCGTGCGAGTTACTGAAAAAAAAAAAGTCGATAAGAAAAGTTTAATTAAGTTTAATAATGTGTCAAACTGTACGAGATATTACGTGTATTAATTACACGTTACATATGAATTATGTGTATATCGCATAAAAGTTTTTCATAAATATACATGTAAATATAAAAATGAAAGATTGGATACATGAATTTTTGACGATCTAATCGGTGAGAATAATTAAACAGAGAGATCTGGATAAACATATTTTGATCGAAACGACGAGAAGTGATGGAAAAAATTATGAAAAATATGAAGAACTTTTGTACTTATTCGATAATTTTTTTTTAGAACAGAATACATTTAAAGGAAAATGTCATTTCAACGAAAAAACTGTGTTTACTGATTACGATTACTAATTAATGATATATACTTTTCATTTAAGTTTTTTTTTTCTACATATATTATTTAATCTTCCATCGTTCAAAAGTTTATAGTTTTTACAAAATTATACAATAAATAAGGATAGCTTAATTACTCGTTCGATTAAGCCTTAATCTATTATCTATATCTCCAGATATTTTTATTTTTTCTCTACAATTCGTCGATAAATTCTTAATGACAAATATCCCTTCAATTAATTATTCATTCATGTATATTTCATTATTCATGTTTATTATTTATTCCTTAACGATTAAATGTTTCTTACATGTTTCTTAAGACTAGGTCAACAATTTTCACTTTCTAAATCGTGGCAAGAAAATTAAGCAAGTGGATTATTATAATAACAAATGTATAACCGCAAAATGTATTTATGAAACTTATACATATAAAAACATTTAACAAATCGCATGAATTTTTTAACACTTTGAGTCACTTTTTTTTTATATTAATCTCATTTCTAAATATCATTGATTCTCGATAATCTTTTAATATCTCTAATAATAAATAAATATCTTTAATATCTCTCCAAATAAATAATGTAGTAACAATATTTTATCGACCATTTTTATTTCACGTTATCTTGGAACAATTTAATAAATTGTCTACGGATGTATCTTGAATCAGATCTATCTTTGACGAAATGACTTAAGTGACACGATAATGGAAAACATGGTGGAAGGAAAATTGTTAAGATCGAACTTGCTAAAAGCTATATCGAAACCAATTTTCTCGTCTGAATTGCATTTTTTTACAGGCTTTTTTAAATTAAAAAAAAAAAAAACCTTCTTCGCCTTCAATCAATTTTACATCGTATTTTATGTAATATAATTCTAAACTGAAATTTATTTTATTATTTCATTAATCATATTGAAACAAATTATATATATTATATATTAATATAACGTGTACAGTGATTACATAAATATTTAACAACACGACATTTACATGTGCGATGCATATCTAAATTTTGCATAACTAATTCGCACGGATAATTGTTGAACCGATATTTATAGAAAAACTAACAATTTTGTTAAATTTCATAGATGCACGAAAACATATTTATACAATAATTACGATTGATTGCTTTGGTCGATTGTGATTATTTTATTGGACGGAAACTTCTTATGCGTTACGTTTTCTTTTATTATTATTATAATATATTACATGATCAATTTTCTCTTAATAAATAAATCAATCCCTTAATAATTTAAAAAACGTTTTCAATCAGACTAGCTGAAAAATATTTTTCGTAATAACGTAGATACTTTTCTATTAAAATGCATATTTGTACACTAGTGAAGCTACTAAAAAAAAAAAAAATAAAAAAATAAAAATATAAAAAGAATATAAAACGCATCATGAAAAAGAGAGAATATATTAGTTCTTTATTCATCGTATATTGTATTTTGTTTCATATTATACCATGAAATTATATAAAATAGATAAATATTGCATATTACATATCGAATAAACGTTCCCCCATTATCGAAATTATTTATCTCTCGAAAAACATGTTCAATTGCACATAAATTTGCCTCTCGTTGAAAAAAGTATATCGTTTTACGAACGAAAAAAAAAAAAAAAAAAGAAAAAAAGAAAAAAAATACTTTAAATCTCCACGAGTAACGCGTTTTTTGATACGGAAAAAAAAAAAAAAGAAGAAGAAGAAGAATTAAAAGAAAAATCGCACCGATAATTGAAATTGTATCTGTCTTCCATAATTTGTAATCGCAAGAAAAAGAAAAAAAGATTCTTGCATGCATCCTATTTCGTCTACCAAGACTCAAAGGGTTAAAAACGATGTGCCGATTTACCCCCTCCCCCTCCCCCTCTCAAAAAAAAAAGAAAAAAATGTTTCTCAATTATATCATTATCTTGCTTTTATTCAAAAAAAACAATCGTAAATTCCACGACGAGACTTACAATTTAATTACAAGATCGCGTCGCCATCAGTCGTAAAGGAAATTAAGATTGTCCACGCAGGATGATCCACGCGACGAGGAACGGTGCAGATCGTTAACAGAGAGGCATCTCTCTCCGTAGAAAGGAACTCTGTCCGTGGATGGACGCCAAGATATCTTTAAGAAGAAATCGTCCCCCTCGTTATGGAACAAAGAGACGTTCGGCCTCGTGTTCTCGGTGAAACACACGTTCTGCCTATACTAGACGCGGTCCTCCTCCTCCAACAGTCGTACCACTTCTGGAACAAAGTTTTTCCTTTGATCACCGAGAGCAACAGTAATATCTGGACAACGCAATTAAAGGAGTTATTTAATCGAATCCTTCTTCCGGGGGACACTTTTATTTTCTCGGCCTTGTTGAAATTGAGACGGGAATAACGGTAGACAAAAATATCTCGACTCGTATTATAAAGCCAATGAAAAATTTATATTTATCTATAGCGTATCTATTTGTTGAATGAGTAAAATGATTAAACTACATATTCTATTTATATTTCCTTATTAATAGGACATCACGATATCGATGTTAAAATTACGAAAGGAAATACTTGGACAATCGAACGAGATTACGCGATTCGAGCCAATGAAAATTATATCGGAACGAAATCGATCGAATCTCGATTCATTCACACGTTCCTTTTATTGCTCTGCTTTCTGTACAACGCTCCTGTGAATGAGCTTTCAACGAGCGTGCATCATTTTTTTTTTTTTGTTTTTCCTCGACAAGATATCGATCAAGATTACGTTACCTGATCTGGTGGCGAGGGAAGCTTTTCCAAGATAAACTGCCGATTCGTTCCCGCTTAGCTCGCTGTTGTTCCCTGCTTGTGCAGCATTTCTGGTCGACGCCATCGCGATATCGCTGTTTCTACACCCTACTCTGTAAAACATCGAACAGAAATTATATAATAAAAATTCCCCCTCGTCTTCCTTCCTCCTATCTTACGATCGAATTCGAACGTTTGTTCGAAATTATCCCCAGGGTTGAAACGCTGGGTCGAATTGAAGGGCGTATCGCGTTGCAAGCGCGCGTTTCGATAAACAACAGCTTTGTCTTTGAATTAATTGGCGTACTTACGTTATTTTCAGGGAACAAACAAAATTGTTTCATTACTCGTCCATTTATATAACACGTTTGATCGACGACTTTTGCGCACGTTATTTGATCGTTCCCACGTATTTTCCATCGCGTTGTGGTACGTTTAACTTTGAACTTTGCATGTCGAATATATTTTTTTCCTTCGATATCGACGAAAGCATTAAGAGTAATAATAATGCTGCGTGAAAAATTGGCGTTTCACCCGAAACTCGCACCCTTCGCAATTTCACAGCGGAAAGTACATATCGCGCTCGATACTTCTCAATTTCTTTTTTTTTTCCCCTTTCCCGATCCCTCCTTTTCGCAACGACCGAACCGAGCTCCCTCGTGCGAAGCAAAGAGAAATTGGGAAAAAATTGAAGTGTAATATGGAGGAGGGTAAACAAGGGTCCAGGAGTGAATCAAAGAGAGAGAGAGAGAAAAAGAAGTGATTCCCTCTTTCTAAAAAAAAAAAAAAATATAATTCGAGGATCGAATGTTGACCCGATCGTTGAGTGTTGATGTTTGATGAGATACCTTTACCTCCAATTCCGATTAAATCGCGTTATCCATCCGTGAGTAAGGTTAGGGTTGAAGTAAAGCGTTTACCTCCAACAACGGTGACAATCGAAGAGGCCGAGGAACGCTTGGCGAAACTTTCGATTCATGAAGCAATACGTGATTGGATTGCAGCAACTCGATACGTAGGCCAGCAATTGTACCAGGCTGATCCCCGTGCTGCCGACGGTCGAATACACGAGATCTGGCGCGAAAAGATACCAAGTATTGATCACGTGCAACGGTGCCCAGCAGACGAAAAATTCCAACACGATCACGAACAGCATCCTTATCACCTGGGAACAACACGCAGGTGGAATGTTTCGAGACGGTCTCGTTCCTTATTTATACAGAGAGGCTATTATTTATATATGGAGAAATAAGGGAACGATGAGATCACGATATTTCCAATGTAATATCGGGTGAAATTCAATTTTTAATTACGCAACCCTTTGACGAACACGATACCTGATTGAAACGGGTATACGGGATTTTCTGTATGGTGGTATCAAATTCTTTAAAAATAATTTAAAGACACTTTCTTTCTTTCTTTTTTTTAAAGAATTTTTCTTAAAGAAACGAGTGACTTAGAAAAGAAAAGAAGGTGAAGCTTTGAGAAGAATTTGAAGAAATAAATTACAAATATTAGTTTGTCTTTGGAAAATTAGATCAAGGAACGTGAATATTAAAAGAAAAGGGAGTAAGATTAAAATAAGAAGGAGTGGAATAAAAAATTTAATAAAAAAAATAAAAATCAGTTTTCACGATATTGCAACTTTTGCGATAAGAAAGTAAGGACCGATCATAAGAACATGGAAAGTTTTGAGTTTAAAGTGATGTTAAACATCAAATAGAACTACCCTAAATTGCTTCCAAGAAAAACTTATATCTATCATAAAATGTAATTGGTTCAAGGCAAGGGAGGGAAAAAAAGAAAAAACGAAAAATCTAGAAATCTCGTCGTTAATAGCACGGCAATAAATTCGATGTAAAATTGAAAAAAAAGGAAAAAGAAAAAGAGGAATTAATTTTGAAAATATGAAAGAAAATTAATATTATACGGTGGATCATGAGAATTTATCGGTTGACATCTTCGTCTGAAGATTTTAATCGTGCCTGATACGCGTCATAATGTTCGAGATGCTGTAAGTAAAATGGATGTGCATTATACAACAGCCTCCTGTCACTCACAAGCGATAAGGAAAACCAAGAAGTTAGATAAATGGATTTTCCACGGATCGAACATATATCGAGAAGTAGGATTAAAGATGTGCACGTACACGAAAATCCTTTCTCGTGAAATCATTTTTGAACGCAAAATTGAAAAAAATCCATTTTATATTTACGAAGTTGTAGCTTTTAGCGACGAGACTAGTCACTCATTATTACCGAGTAGAAAAAAAATATGAAATAATTTCGTATTATTTTAATACGAATTCTTAGAGAAGCCATTAGAATTTAATCAACGAATTTTAATAAAATTTCTAGGTTTATCCAAAATATTTAAAAATGTACTAAGATTAATATTAATATTTACGATTTATGATAAGAAAATTTGACAAAGAAAAATTTGGTCGAAAATTTATTTAGATATGAGGGAATTAACTCTTTTTGTTTTTCTAATTCTGAGTTTAATTAAGTTTCAATAAAAATGGGAAAATTAATCAAAATAATATTATAGAAATTAGTTCTAGAATTCTAGATTTATCTAAAATATCTAAAATTATTTTGTAAAAAGAATTTATATTAAATATTTAATTTTGTAGAATAAGGATGAATTCTTAAGAATTAATTCTAGATTTATTTAAACAATTTTTCCTTTCCAATTAATTTTACTTACTTTTTTCTTGGCTTCGATACTTTTGCCCATGTAGTTGCTGCGTATAATGTGTTGCCTATTGAATGGACAGCCCGAATCTTGTTGCTCCTCGTTCGAGGAATCTTTCGTATCCCTCGAAACACAATTGTTTCCATTGCTGCGAACCTGCACTCTCGATTCATTGGGAAAATCCGATCCCTTTAATTTTCCACCGAACACACTGGACACTTTCATTCTCGGAACACGTATCTTTATAAAAAGATTTAAAAAAAATTTAATTTTCGAAAATCTAGATCATAATTTTTAGTAGATGAGATAAATTTTTTAAAACACATTTTCAGAATCCATTCTGTTTTCTATCGAGAAGAATGGAATACGTGAAATGAAATAAATGAAATACGAATTTTATCATTTGAAACGATTTAAAAAAATCCTCCAAATTTCACGATTTAATGAATTGTTCTTGAAAGTACTATCCGTATACTTCGCAAATACGATCGAAAAAATATTGTAAAAAAATGATTGGCGATATAATTCGTATTTTATTTACAGCAAAATTAAAAAAGTGAACGGAGAAATTTGTATAATATACGGAAACTTGATTGAAAAAAAAAAAAAAGAAAAAGAAAGAAAGAAAAAGGGAAAAAATAAAAATTCATTTTTAAAAAACGGTTGAATGGATTTTTCAATTTATTTTTAACCTAATCAAAAGGGCATTTTATTTTTCTACGATATTTTTACGCGTACTTTAACAAAGAGGATGAAGTTGAAATCCGAACGTGAACAGTCAATAAAATATCGCATTTTTGTTATAAAAAAAAAAAAAAAGAAGAAAAAAAAAACTTTGAAGCAATGTTACGAACGAATAAAACATGTAAGAAGATACGGAGTAAAAGATTAAATCGATTTACGCGCCAGACGAGAACTAATATTGACGCAAATTGGCCGTCGAGCTTTACATACATATGTGCTCACGTATGTGTGTGTGTGTGTGTGTGTAAGAATATATCGATACTTAGAAAAATATAGCCAAGTGAGAAAAAACGGGTGAATTTTATATTTGAGATTAAGGATGATCTAAGAGGACAATTGCAATATATTCTGCAAGACATTGAAAAATCTAATTTTTATAATTATATTATTACTTATTTATAATAATTCTAATTTCTCTAAGATGATAAAGATATTCTTTATGGAAAGAAAAAAAAAATGTACCAAATGTAATTATTATTTGTTGAGAAATCGCTAACTCGATGGATCTCTAGAATTTTTTTTTTTCTTTTTTTGTCCCCTTCAACGAACGAATTTATGGATTTTTAAGAAAACTGCTATGTGTTTAGATACAGCGCGAACCTTCATCCTTTTCTTATCCACCGTTGATGGAACACTTTTGGATATTTCATTTTTCAATCTTACGAAACGGATGCACATAATATTTTATCGCGTTTAGCGGCTTCTCTTCTTCTGATGACCGCACGTGTTTCAAGGGCGGTCTAACATTCCACCTATTGCAAAAAATGTAATATAAGATCGGCGAGGAAAGCCGTGAAAAATTGTGCCAATTTAATTTAAAGATTGGCCAATTCAATCTTTTCGAACGGAATAGGAATACTCTGGATTGCCATTTTTTTTTTTTTACTATTATGTTTTAAGAGAATAATTTTCCTGGAAAGTGATAACCGACAATTTTTACTTACTCGCTGTTTGTTTGGAAAATTGCGAGAATCGAAGCACGGGGGAAAACTTTTTAACGAATTTTATATTTAAAAAGTTTGGCAATTTTTTCAAAATTGCGAAACAATGAAGTTTATTCGGATAGATACCATCGTAATACGATTTTTCAAAAAATATCCTGGCTCTCTATACTTAAACGATCATTAATACGTAACAATTCCATTACACGATTAACTTCTCTCACTTCATAAAATCATATTGTTATTTACAATCTATTCGCGAGGTATAATTTAATAAATTAATTATTCAAAAGTTTTTCATAATATTAATTAATACACCTCTGATACCTGCGGGTGAATAAAGGTGAAAAAAATTTTGAAATTTACATTAACGTCAGAATGAAAGAGGAAAAACACGCACGCGATCTTCCATACTTGCTTTATTTGTTCGAAAAAGTTAAAAATTGAATTACTTAAAAAAAAAAAAAAAAAAAGCAAATATAATGAAATTCCATTCCATCCAATCGTCAAAACTCTCGCCATTATCTTTCTCACTTTCGAAGGAAAAAAAAAAATATCGCAAAGATATAACAATCCCGGGGGAGGGGGAGGGGGAAGGGAGGGTTTGATTCGTATCCCCGCCACACTCGACTTATCTCATCGGCCTGATACAAAGATCCAAAAATTGGATCTCGCTGTATATACACTTTTATCCACTTTTTCGGCCGGCGATATGCCTTCTCTTTCGCGCGACCACCCCCACCGCCCAGTAAAAATCTGACGACCCACTCTTCCCTGCCCCTGCCTACGACCGCCACCTTTCTCTCACCCTAGACGCCACTCCCTGGGGAGCGCCATGGTAGCATCCGTGGTGAGAGGACGAGGGAAATCCTCGCCTTAATTTCGAGGATGCGCCGCAAGCATTGAGTACGACCGTGGTGGAGTTCGCCCCTCCATCGCCTTTGTCATACGTGGAATTCTTCACCGTCGCCCTCGCCGATTCTATCCTCTCCACTGTAATTCGATTCGCTGTTATTTGGATTGGATAAGGATTCGAAGGCTAATGGTTTTCTTTTTTTTTTTTTTTTTCCTTATTGTTTTATTGGATCGTTGCACGCTTGATCTGCTCGTTCTTTCTTACTTCTGTCTTTAATTCCGCGCGTTATTCTACTGCGATTCTCGAGTTCGAGCTTGTTTGCTCGAGTTAAAATGTTTGCAAAGAAATATTTGCGACCTCTGGAATTTCTTTCGGAAGTATTTACGAACTATTTCTTCTTCTTCTTTTTTTTTTTTTTTATCGTTCGAAACAATCGTGGAGAAATAGTTCGTGGAAATTTATAATTCTGTTTTTTTTTTATTCTCGAGGAATTGTTTTTTTTTTTTTTTTTTTACTTTTTGATCATATTTGAGTTAACAATAAAGATTAAAACACTTACGACGTTGCTGACAATTCGACGACTGACGAATTTCCTGCCGTAATCCCCGCCAAAGTTTCACTGCGATCAAAGAATAAGCCAGGCTCATCACGATTAAGGGAACTAAAAGCAGGGTCCCGTCTAAGAAAAGATTATAAGCTCGCTCGGCGCCAACGCTCGGCCATTCCTCCCGGCACTTTTGTCTTCCTGAAAAACGCACGCCATTCAACTCCCTATAAATTTTCACGACGTGAATGGAGACAATCCTCGAGACAAGGTCGAGTATTCGAGAAATTCGTTGGAACATGCGAATTTCGAAGGAAGAATGCGAGAATTGCGATTGAGAAAGAAAAAGAAACCTCTTTTCCAAGTGTTAATCATTAGATCATTATTTCATTCGAATATCTATTCTTCGTTGTTTCTTCTCTAATTGGATGCAAGAAGATTCAGATTCTTTTTGAGTGAAATATTTGATTGGATTGTACGTTCTTTCTTTTTTACAGACGTTTTATAAATTTCATTCAGTTTCTCTCAAAAGTTAGTTAGAACGTGTAGTTCGTAAATCAATATTGGCAAAGAAATTCTTATTGTAAACTGAGTTAACAAGTTAATTGCTACAAGGTTGAAAGTGTTGTTCGAAAGATTAATCTTTTAAAAATTTTGATAAATTCAATATAATTTTTTAAAATCTTACCATCCCGTATACTTTTCAACCGCGAAACAACGAGAATTGGCGCATTCCACGTAAGACTGGCTGTCCAAACCACGGCAATCATTTTGTAAGCATGGAACTGTGTTTGCCATCTTCTCGACTTCAGTGGTCTGCAGATGGCAAAGTAACGCTCCAAAGAGATGGCGACCAGTGTCCATACACCGACAGACACCGACACGGCTGAAAAGAGATAAAAATATTAACCCTTAAATATTATGTTCAAACAAATTTTTATTAAACTCGCTCGCCAAAAAGAGGAATAAAATATTAAAAAATAATAAACCATCTATAAAATCGTTGAATATTACTTGGAACATTGTCGATATTCTCTGTGGATGAAAGTATATTACATATAAAAGATATAATTCGTATCTTGATTGTCGATAAACGTCAAATTATTTTCTAAATGAACAGAGCATAGATAATTTAATCCCCCTTCGATACATTAATTTTCTCGTTTATATCTTTCGTTTAATTCCTGTCATTACCTATATGTAATTATCTATAAAATCGTTCCTCTCTCGTGTGCCTCGAGTATGAATACGAAATCTTGGCTACTGATAATATTCAACCAATATACAATCAATATTTTCCCTATAACAATACCTTATCTTTGAGGTATAATAATTAATTTTCACTCGTGTGCGAATACAAACAACTAGAGGGGAATTATTCGCACAAAGATCTATCGTATTTCTCTTTCTTGTTTGTTACATATGAAATTATAATTCGTTGATTTAATTAATTGAACGATCAAGTTGAACGAAAAATAAATAGATTAACTAAATTAGAGTGAATTAGAGAAATTTATTTCGCAGCAATTTCGTCGTGTTGCACTACTACTATAATTGTACCGCCATCCATTTTATTTGGTTGTACAGCTTCAACGTGAATTAACGATTCTTCTCGAGAAATATGGAAACTAGTTTCTTCCCCAAATTGGGGCATTAATCTCCATTACCATCTGTGTTCTTAGTATAAGTTTTTACAAAGAGTAAAGTATGCACAAGTTGGAATCAACCGTGAAATGTAAACGAAAACGAAAAGTTTCAAGGCGGTGAATATTTTTTTTTTCAGAAATTCAAATTTATTTGAAACGATGATTTTTTACTTTTCCATTTACGAACGTGGATTTATATGAAAACCGTGGTCGGAATACCGCGTGTGTATGCGATTTTCTGCCAATAAATTTAATATCGTCCGTGTGAAACGTGTGTTTTAACGTAACGTAATCCTAACACGAGAGAAATTGTTTTTTATGAGCATGATAAAATTATATTTAATACACAAATAAACGCAGGATTAAATTTAAACAAACTATTCATCGTTGATTTCAATTATTCCATTTATATTCCGTATTCCGTAAAAAACGTTCTTCTTCTTCTTAATTAATAATTAATCAGATTTTTTGACAATTTGAATTTATACAAATGGATAAATATGTGTGGTATATCATTGTATAATTAATGCCAAATTCGATCTGTCGTAGATAAATCTATCGTAAATAAATAAAATTAAATATTCACTTTTTTTTTATATATAAAAGTTATAAAGATAAATGCAAATAAGATACTTCTATTTGCTTTTATTCGCGTTCAATTTAGCTTTTCAATAATGGAAATCTTTCGAACGCACACTTCACAAGATGTGCAAGATCTCTTGTTCTCTCTTTCATCTGTGATGAAATTTGATGTAAAAAGTATCAAGCGATTCGAGTGATTGATAAATCCGAGAAGAAATTCACGATTCTTCAAAATCATCGACTCGATGAATAAATCTACATTTCACTACTCGAATATTTTAATATACGCGATGAACGTTTCGTGTTAAAAATATCCTATATAATTTTTATGAATTTTAAATATTTAAAACGAGTAGCAATTTTAATTAATTTCATATCAAAGAAAGAAGATTTTTTTATTTCTGTATTCTTCTAAAGAATAGAGTGTAGTTTAACCAATTAGAAAGTTTATAAAACGAAACAAATACTTCAAGAATTTGGAAAGAAAAATTATCTGTTTGGCCAAGAAACGTGAAAAAATAGTATCGTTCTCTAGAAAACAGTAACATAAAAGTCGTGCATGTTCGTTCTTTGAGATCGAATATAAAATATTCGAAAAATTTTTATTAAAAACTTTTTTGATCACGGTCAGATATTCACGTTACAATTTTTTTATAATTTAAAATTTTAAAAAGATTTTGTATACAATACAAATTATACAATACGTATTATAATAAACTTTTTACGTATTTTTATATAATGCGAAATTTTTTTTGGAGGGGGATCGAATTTATCTAAATAAATGCAGAAAGAAAAATTCATGTGGTTGCCGTGAAAAATATTCCGTACTCGAGTTTTTTGCAGTACAAGAGTTTCGTGGTTCGTTGCACAATTGCTTCAAGCTTTTAGAATTAATGATAGTGTTCACAGACGCGAGATTTCATTTGAACAAAGGTGGAAAAAAACACTTCTCCGTTACTTCACACATAAGGTATCTTTCGAGAAGATTAATTATCTCTAACTTTAATTAATTAAATGATAATTGGGTAAATGGTATATTGAAGCTAGAGTTTGCAACTTTGATGAGCCTACAATGAATGCTTACGTAAATTTCTGTCACTATTCACTAGAAAGTAAACGTAAAAATAAGATAAAAATAGATAACGTGAAACGATAGCATCATTAAAATAATAATTTAAAATATTTAGATGCATTGTTCATATTGAATGAAAATAACAATTTATAGTTACTGGTATGAAAAGAGTATTAACTTATCTGAGATGAATCTGTCGAGATGCCAGAAATTGTCATTTCACTCGTACGATTATTAAATCCTATTAAATCCAAAATTCCATTAAAATTCCTTCTATATTCGTTTGAATCATGGTTACTTTATTCTCACCACGACTGTTTTATCCTATTGTTTGACCCTAACTTTCCTATTCCACTTGGCTGACCACGACAGTCTCTTGTTCTATTTGTCTACCCTATTCTACTCGTCCGGCCATGCCGTTTTATAATCTCAAATGGAAGAAAGTAATCGAGGTCGGACAAGTAGTATGAGCCAGCTGTGGTCAAACAAATAAATTCTTAAGAAAATAGAAATAAAACACTTAGATTAAATTAAAATAGATTTAGAAATGTCTGACTTGAATATTTTATTTTCCACGTACAATATTATATTACTTCCTATAAAATAAAATATTTCATTTCATTATTATTAATAAAATCTTAACGCGAAATCCAACTACGACAAATTTCGTTGTAATTATTATTTCCACGTTATTTGATGCACGTTGACTGCAAAAAAAAAAAACGCTTAAAAGTATACGTGCCTCGATATTTTCATCACAGAATATAAAAATCATTCTATTCTGATGATTCATGGTGCATCGGTTTATTAAAAATATATAAAAAATATATATCTGGTCGAAACCGAGATTTTCTTTCTTTATATACGTAAATAATACAGCATAGCATTCTCGATCACGGAAGTTCGTTCGTTTTCTCTCTCGGTATTCGATTACAAAACGTATTTCACTAGCGGTAGGTGATCCCGTTCCTGTCACACTTTCCGTCTGGCTTTTCCCCAAATAGCCGTTTTCTCTTTTACCGGTTCATAAAAATTGTTCTCGCGATAAAAATCGATCTCTCGACACTCGTTAAACTCGACGCTAGAAAATTGAACCTTTTTTCCCCTTCTCTTGGAAATTATATTTATTTTCCTTGTCTGAAAGAAAATTCAAAAGATAAACAGTTTTGCACGATATAGATTTCGATATAGATTTCGATCAACTCGCGTTAATTATTAATTATTAATTATCATATCCATTTATAGACACAAGTTGTTAAATAAAAAAAAAAAGGGAAACTCTAATAAAGCTACTAATACATATCCGAGACAAAGTTTGGGAAACAACAGTTCGGAAACAATGATAATTTCTATTCAAGTACACGCAGCACGCCTCAACAATCTTGCCTCGTCTGCGTTTAATTCTAAGTTAAAGGTTGCCACCTAAGTAATATAAGTTTCATAGCTTAGGCGTTAAGTCAAGGGTAAAGAGCGACATTTGCATGAAAAAATTCCTTAAATATAAGTATCGATAATGAGATTTATAAAAAGATAAAAATTTCTAGTTTCAATAATAACAATAAAAGATGAAAAGTGTGCACCAGGAAGTGGACAAGGAAAAAGGATTATATTTTTTGTTTTATATATATATATACGTGTTTGATACTCATTCGTACAAAAGAAAATGATAAGAAATAGGATAGGATAAAAATAAGAAAGGACGATATATCAGCTCGAACTGCATTCCATGAGAAATCACAATGATATTTTCTTTTTTTAAAAATTAATTTTACTTTTTTTTTTTTTCAAAAAGACGCATTTTCTTCATTTATATCGAAAAGAAAATTGGCGGTTGTACTTTTTTTTTATTGCTGAAAGAACTGAAAGAAAACGATTAATAAAATTCACACAAATTCAGAGATTGCCTCGGGTAGGAAAAACTTGTTATCAAGTCAAACAAAGGTTCAAATTTCAATACACTATCTATGTTTTGAAAGAATATTTGATATTTAACTTTAACGGTGTGGGGGGGAGGCGAGTTATCGAGAGCGATGGAAATATCGTTTTGAAAATAAATTTTAACAATTACTATTATTAGTGATACATTTTATACAATTTACTTAGACTGGATTATATGTTATATATATATATCACAGAAGAGAAAGAAATTTTCATTATATAACTTCGATGCAGTTAAGGATTAAACTTTGCACAAATAAAATTTAATCACGTAATACAAACTCCCATGTTTATTACCACCTACACATGTTTATTCAAGTTACATTGAAGCTACAATTTCAACACGTAAAGTGTTTCTCCTCCTTTTTAATGCAACTTTTTCCTCTAATTTTTCGAATTATCATCCCTACGTCAAATAAATTATTTTCATTTAAGATAGAGATTTTATAGGCGTTAATAACATAGTGGTGAAATAATTATTTCCAAAGAGAAGAAATAAAATTCATACGTGTAACGCCACCACGTTTGAATTTCATTAGACTGAATTATGCAAACTGTAGGGTAGGTTTTTCATAACCCCCTATTGAGTGGCCCTTTACCCACGCCACTGTATAAATTACCATCTTCGTTAGGCGAGATTATGCTCGAATACAAGGCACAAGTTTACAGGTATCAGATGTAATCGTTTAGGTTTATTGCAAAATTATTCAGATTAGAAATGTGTGTCTCTAATTTACATGTTAGATCGTGTGCAGTTGGAAATTGTCAGCGGGCTTCAATTTCGAAAACGTACGACAATGCAGTGGACTATGATGACAGCTACTTGCTAGAGCGTTGTACGTAACTAGTTGTAAACTAGTATTGTGTTTGCAATAATACTCATTTTGATAAATGTTCCAGGCAGTGAAACGAATTTAAATAATCAAACGTTTGGAGTTGCAATTTCAATTTTTACTACAGAGTAAATGATTGCATAATTAAAATTGTAACAAAATGATTTAATTTCGAAAAAATTAAAAAAATTGCTTTCAAAATGCTTATACGTGTCATTGTTATGGAACGTGTTGAATTTTCTTTTCCTATAGATTAGTAGGATTGAAAGAGAAATTCCTAATAGCAATCAAAAAGAAGAAAAAAAATTATCGTAGGAGTAAAAGTTAAATGAAAAAATTTTTTTAAGATTATAAAAGAAAGGTACTTTCGTTTATTTCGAACGTGATAGTCTCTTGTTTTTTATAACCTTTCATTATTCCTTTCCTCTTTTCTTTCTTTACTTTGAGTAAAGAAACAATATTAAACTGAATGAACCAAAAGAACAATTTTTCATTAAGAAAAAATATATCACAAAGTGAAATAATTAAAATAACGAGAATAGAATAAAACAATCTTAAAATATTACTGAACTGAAAGCAATTCGTTAAATCGTGAAATTTTTAATGTAAGAACAAATTTATACATGATATATGTTTCGATAAATTATATATATATATATATAAACAAACAAATAAATAATAATACGATTATTATGGATGAGATTATCATCACCTATTTACAAATTTGAATATATTTCATTGCTTTGAGATCGCTTCCATTATTAATACATTATATTCCTATATATAACTTTCGATAAACATTATAGTAGACACAAATTAAATGGAAACTTTAATGTTTCATAACGTTCAAAATATATCGGTATGAGTACGAGATATCACCATATTTCGATGAAGTGTCAGACTAATTATAGAAATTAATCCAATCAATTATCAATTAAATTTACCATCGTCGTTTCAGGTTGAAAATTGTATGGACCAAGCAAGGGATTGATCGTTACAGAACTGCTAATTTTAAAAAAAAGAAACCTGCAAAGTGAAACGCGTTAAAAATTATCCTTATAACGTATACCAGATATTCACGATATAATAATTCAGCATGAGCAAACAATCTGAAAATGCAAATTACACTCGACAACACGAAATGGTATTTGCTCCCGATCTCTATTCAACGACTGCTCCATTCGACGATTATTCAACGCACGCATCGTCCGCACAATATAACCTGACACCCGAACATTCCCCTTTTCTTCTATTTTACAATATCTTCCACTCGCGTCGGGCAAACGGCGCACATATTACCCCAGAATACATTTGGCCACGTCCATACGAAATTTTTTGGATAACACTTTTCTTTCACGCCCTAACCTCAAACCTCAAACTCGCGCATTTTCTTCCACGCGTCCAGAGGGGGAGGGGGCGGAGGGGGTGGAGGGGAGGGGAGGTTCGAAACTCATAGTGAGATAGAAAAAAAGGGAGAACTCGGTGAACAGATTCGCTATACGATTTATAATCTATTAGAGTTGGTCAGAAGGAAAAGTAATGAATAATTTTGCCATTTCGTTCGGTTAATGTGCGATCGATCTCGAAAAGTGAGAGAGAAAATTCGATTTCTGAAAACATAATATCAATGGAATCATTCCCCCCCTCCCCCTCCCCCCCATGAAGTCACTTCAAAGAGTAAATGAAAGACTTCAAAGGATACTATTAAATTCCAAACCGTATCAAATCTTCTCAACGGGGAAAGTAAATTATATCCTCTCTGGTATTTTAGAATTCGATATGGCGTTAAATTTTTATAGAATAAGATGGAATGAAAATGGAAAAAAGAAAAGGGGATGTACGT